TTCTCGTTTTTTTTTGTTTTTTTTATGACAGGTCCCTTCAAAAAATTTTTAAAAAATAATTTGTCACATATCTTGTGTATTGTCACCGTGAATTTGAGGTTTTATTATTATAAAAAATTACTGAGAAAGTAAATGCATATGTTATCTACTAAAGTACACTGTATACAAATTCTAATGCTTCAAATATAAATACTAAGTTGGACCATTAAATTTTAAGATTTTAAACATTCATGTTCGATATTGTTTGTCTAAAACACATGGTACCATACATTAAGTAACATTAATTCATTTTTTGTCAACTGGATATGACCGTTTATAAACAAGGAACCTTTAAAATAAGTGTGTGTTATTGTCCAACAATATTGACCTGGCACTTCATTAACTTTCGTACAGTTCATTTAAATAAACACTGACCATGCAGTATCTGTCGAATATATCGATATATATTTGCTAACTGCACTTGTCAGTGATGTATGGTGTATTGATATAGATGTCGGACTACCGATATGAAGGTATCTGGTTCGATTCCTTACCAATTTCACGATATGATATTTTTTTTAATTTACTTGCAGAAAATTAATTTGAAATCGTTTAACTACACCTAGTTTTAAAATACCTTTTAAGTGGTATTTCTATACACAATTATATTTTTATTTCATTACAGTATATAACGGCTCTTTTTGTGACATTATGCCATCGAGGCTTTAGCGCATACACGCAATATTATTAAAAATGCTACACAGATAGTACACACAACAAAAAAAGGTTTGAAATAGCTTTAAGGGAATGGAATTGTTTGAAATTAATATTTAAAAAAATCGATGCAATAGGATTCGAACCAACCAGTAAAAACCTCTACATTCTTCAAGTGAAACCTCTTTACCAGTTGCGCTAAGAGGGATATTTAATTTACACCATTTTAACAATTGGATATTAGCATTCACATCGATTTTACAAGTAGATCGTAACATTTACAAAATATACCGACTACAGGGTCAAATGCGAGAGTGCCAGGTCAAGGTTGTTGAATACTCATAGCCAACTCATAGCCATACTAATTAAACAATCATGATTTTAAACAAACATGCATGTCCTATTAATGTCATTTTTACAAATACAGTGTTAATTTATATTATGTCAACTGCTTAGAATATATGTCTTTCCATTAGCTAATGAAATGTTCACATGACTGTTCATGGCTTAATGAATTATAAGGAATATTTGTAAGATAAAAGCAATGTCAAATTTTTTTAAAAATTTTTTCCAGTTGAAGTGATCATGTATTCAGCTAAGTATATACGAGTATAGAATAGTAAAAAATAGCTTGCACAATGTTATTGAGAAAGAAAAAGCACGCAATAAAACGCTGCAAACGTTAATGTGCAACAATCTAATATTTGTGAAGATTTTTTGTTTTCATTGGGATTCATTAGCACTTTTCCCCTTGATTTAAATGCTTTCATTTCGTTGATTTGTTATAGAAAAAAGCAAAACAGCAATTTTGCATTAGTAAAATAAAGTTTACCTGTATATTCAACATTTCTGATTTCGCGTCATGACTTATTTCACGATAATGGCATATTTTCATATGACCAGTGTTAACAGTGATTAAAATTAACATAATTTAGTCATACAGCTTAACAACAACAATGTTATTGCTCAGTATTTTTAAAATTTGTAGAAGATTTCGGAAATCAGAACACTGTTTTACTCATTTCTACAAAAGGTCACTTTAGTCCGATAAAATGCATACATATCATTCTTTTCTTAATGTTCCTCCTCGTTTAAAATAAAGATTTACAAAGAAATGAAAGTTTAAATATTTAAAATTGAGCAACAGATATGAAAAATGTATATGATATTTTGCCAAAGTCGTTAGACATAAATTACCTTCTTCATGTATAATTAATGTCTCAGGTATTAAGAATATTTCACATAAGCTTTTTGTTATCATGAACACTACTGAGCTAATTATCATTTCTGGACAGGCAAAGGGTTAAAACGCTTTTTATATCAATATTACCCGGTAGCAACAACCTTATACCTAAAATGTTTCGTTCTTTGTAAAAAAGAAATGTGTTTAGAATATTATGTTATATGGTAGCTAATCTTCGTAGGGAAAGTTTCAAAGTGTCGTAAATTTCACAAAATACTCATTGATTAAATATTTTAATGCTCATATTTGTGTTCATATTGACATGCTCCATAATTGTTAATTCTCATGATTTTCATACTTTTTTGGTGAAAACAATTTTGGTATAAATATATGCTCTGATTTGTATGTTTCTGGACATTATTGAATATAGTAAAGTAGTTATACAACCTAAAATGTGAACAAATAGAAAATAACATTTGTGGATTTAAACGTTCGTTCTCTTCTTCTATTTTAATGTGGTGGAAACTTTAAAGTGTAAAAGTGTAAAAAAGGTGTATTGAAAACTCTGCCACACAAAGCGTGTTTGTACTAACCGTTTTTGCTTGATATAAAAAATTATCTATATTTACTTACACTACTTGCTTAATATGTACTTACCCTTCTTGTTTGGTACAGAACTGCAGCAATATTTACTCACTCTTTTTGCTTGATACAGAAGTAAATCAATAATTTTACTCATTCTTCTTGCTTGCTTTAAAAGTCATTTATATTTACTAAAATATGATAAACAAGATCAACAAGGAAAGGCGGCGTTCAGTGAACGCGACTCACTTACGACCCAGTATCAAGAACTAGTGTCAAGGAGCCCAGGAGGACCCTAAACAAAAACGGGACAGTGCGCAAGGCCGACCACTGACATGCTTATCATTAAATGATACATAAAAATCATAGCAATCTACTAGGAAATCAAAATAAAAGAAGACAAGTACAAATAAATGACCGATAGATAATAGTCCCACTTAGTATAAGGACACAGGGGAAGGAAAACTCTTCTGTCTTGATATACAATGCAGCAATTCTTTCTTGCTTGATAAAGGAATACATAACCATATATTCTTTTGCTTGAAAAAAATACATCAATATTTACTCTATTAAAACATCCTGCTTAATATAGAAGTGTATCAATACGTGGTGTGTTCAAATATGAATGCAAATTGGTCAATATATCGCTTTTTACCACAATTGCACGAACTATGTAAATGTATCGCATAGATGGTTGTGTAAGCTCTCAATTGATACAAAACACGTGTTAAGTCTACCTTTGACAATAGCTCGATTAACGCTGTTTACTTGTGTATACTAAAGCTAACATGGTTGGAAAAAGGTCTCCTTTCACTGACCAAATACGGTCCTATATCAAGAAGTTATTCTTGGTATACGGGCAAAATATATATTTATTTAATTAAAATATGTCGTGTTTATAGGAACAATGAACATTTACATCTGCAACACGAAGGTGAAAGAAATTTAAAAGTGGTGTTGATTTAGTAACAGATGCTCCTTATGCACATCGTCCGAAAATTGCAACTTCGTTTGTTGAAACAGTTCTCTAAATACAACAATCGATCTTTCGCAAATATAATCACTGGCGATGAGACGTTTATGAGCCCAAGCGAAATATATAGAGCAAAATATCGTCATCCAAAGAATGTTAAAAACGTAGCATAGCAAAACGCACCATGAACGTCAAAAAGTCATGTATGTAATTTTATATACCAATCAATGTCCTGCTATTCAAATTGACGTAACAAAAGGAAAATCTGTAAATAACAAGTTTTACAAAGGCAAAAACCGTCGACCAGCAACTGGTCTCCGTTGAGTGGGGTTGCTGCATAAAAATGCTTCGTCACACAAAGCGGCCATTGTATCTGAATATCTGAAACAGGAAAAGGTTGTCGTGCTTCCTTACCCTCCTTATTCACCAGATCCTGATCCATTGTTTTTTTCCAATTTCAAGGGTCAAAGAACACTTTGCTGGAAGAAAATATCAAACGCGAAAAATTCTCGGTTAGGCTATTTTCAAGTGTCTAAATAGTATATCTCGAAAATATTTCGAAAACCTATTTGAAAATTGAATTAAAGACTACTTTTTTGTAGGATGGCGATATTGTTTTGGCACTGTTGGCACGTCTGAAAATTGACCAATTTGCATTCATATTTGAATACCCCTCGTATCTACTTACACTTATTGTTTGATCCAGAAGTGCAGCAATATTTACTTACCCTTCTCTCTTGCTAAAAATGCATAATTTTTTACATTCACTTCCGTGATCAAGAAGTACGTCAATATTTACTAACAATTCTTTCGTGATAAAGAAATGCAGCAATATTTACTTACCCTTCTTGCGTTTTTGATAGTTTTCCTCCTCTGTTTGCATATAAGAGACACCTTCTTTTATTTTTTTATCTGTAATCAAACATATAGATATGTTATCAGAGTAGGTCCTGATTATTGTTAGTAATATTACCTTTCTTTTATTAGTCTCAAAATAACTCTAATATTACGAAATTCAAAAAATTAAAAAAACTTTAAAAAAACACAACATTCTTCATATAAATGTAATGTATTGAAACCTATTTACGATTATTAACTTTTATGGTCTGATAGATGATATATGATCTTTTAGTTCTGAGAGTTTAAAACCAGTCAGTAAACGATAGTGGTGGACATACACTCGCTCGATTTTCCGTAAACTAACTTTGATAATGTATTGTTTGTTTCATTTTAGGCCTTTTCCCAACAGTATTTCAGTCATATAGGCGGGTAGTTTCCTAACCATCAGTCATGGAGAGCTACGCAAGTACTAGACTACCTTCCTCCGTGCTAAACTACCAAAGTATCTCTCGGGGATCAAACCCACACCAGAGAGGTAACTCGATTAGAAGTTATCGACTCTAACTCCTCGACCACGGAAGCGGGTGATCATGTATTGAAGAAATTAATTTTGTATCTGTTTAGGTCATTAATGACATGAATAATCGATATGATGTAAGGTAAATGTAATAACTTATTTAGCCAGAAGCTATTAAAACTCAGTACAACGTGAAATTTGCTATTATCCTTTGATATTTTCCTTCTTAATTCATGGGCATAATTTTGCATCGCTCTGTTTTGAACAGTATGATATTTCGTTTCACTACACAAGTCTGTAATTAAATGAAACATGTTTTCTTTGTTCCTCTAAGCATTATCGTCAACACATTTTAACGGTGTTAATCAATTTTAATTCTGATATAGACACAAAAAGCATCAAATAACAGACCTTCATCAAGTTGTCGTTTTATCTCTTCTTGGGTTTTCTCCACTTTAGTAACCCGTTCTTTTACATATGTCATGTCTTCCTCCAATTTACCTTCACCAAGTTGTCGTTTTATCTCCTCTTGGTTTTTCTCCACTTTAGTTACTCTTTCTTTTACATATGTCATGTCTTCCTCCAATTTACCTTCACCAAGTTGTCGTTTTATCTCCTCTTGGTTTTTCTCCACTTTAGTTACTCTTTCTTTTACATATGTCATGTCTTCTTTCAATTGATCAACATCGGCTTCATAGTCCTTCCACTTTTTTATTTCTTCTTGTACCCTTTTCTCTTCCTCTGGGTCGAGAGAGCAGATTTTGAAATCGTTAATGGTTTGCTGAATTTTCAGAGCTGAAGAACTTCGTCGAACAAGTATCTGAGAAATGAATTAAGCAGAAAATATCAAGTTGGATTTGTTTCTGTATGCATTATCAAATTTCAGTGTAAGGGGGGCAGTTGCCTTGTGGTTAAGGTGTCTACATCTCAACAAAGAGATCATGGGTTTGAGCCCCGCTCGGGTCACAACAATGTTTCTTCATATGAGACCAGTACTGGTTGGTTCAAGGAAGCGGACTCGAAAGTGATTAAAATAAGTTGAAAGAACTTTTTTCGCAATCGAGCTTATTTGTATAATTATGTTTAAACCAAATTTCAGTGTTTGTTGAATTTTTTTATTGTTGGCGCTTTTTTATTTAAAATAGAATATGAATGAAGAAAATAAATAATCGATACACATATTGTTTATGTATACTTTAAAGTGTTATTTACAAATGGAAATGACATAAAAAGAAACAATTACTTTCATGGTTAGATGGTATAAAATATTAAGTAGTCACTTCCATCGTTTCCATCATTTTTAATCGTTTAAGTAATCGTCCAATTCCATAATGCCCTTTTTAATATCCGCGCTAATTAAGGGCCAAATGATCAAATATGATTTAATTATAACGTTCTCTGTGACAATTTTAAGCAGATGTGAATTGCGTATAATTCCGAATAATTTAACAACTTTTAACAACCATTCTGCCTACCTGCTCTATGTCATTCCACCAAGTTACAAAGTCATTTGGCTGAATAAAAGTTGTTTTTGATATATGGCTTATCTGAAATAAAATTCAAATAACTATAGCTTAGAGTGCAATCATACAAAATAAGTTTCAAAGTATATAACTTATGACTTATATAGTTTACGCGTTAGCTTATCCGATGGTATTATGGTGATATGTATTAATTAAATGACAACAACGTTAACAGCTTATTTAGCTGTACATGTTGAGTATGTTCATCCCCGTTCCAAACATAACACACGTCTTAACGTATATAGCTCGCACCTACTGAAAAAATCAAATAATAAGTATAATAATGCGCATCATTTTTGGTAGGAATATTTTATCATCACCAGAAAATGGCACGTAATGATTTTGAAGTCAGTCGCTCAAAGGTCAAGTTCATATTGACCGTAATAAAAAATATTGTTTGAACAATAATGAAAGACCGCGTACTAGCAGCAGGTTTTTGATTAACACAATGTCCTTCAACATATGGTAGTGATCATCGTAGTTGTAGCCCATGTCGTCAAATATGTCTCCGTTAAAACCAGTTTCATAAAAGTCGACTCGTACTTGTAATTATAAATGTATTGTCATGGTCGTAGTCGTTGTATATTTTGTCGAAGCCGAATTCGGTTTTGTCGTTGCTAAAGTTGAATAAAAAACGTAAGCACAGTTGTACTCGTGGTCTTTAAGTCGTAACAGTGGTACTTATCCTGTAAGTTGTAGCGCTGTCGTAGCAATAGAAAAGAAGGTTATACTCGTTTTCGAGTTTGTCGTCGTCGAAGATATCCTGTTTAATAGCCATAATCGATATCGAAGTCAGTAGCTAGTTATGCAGTCTATAAATTTGATTTAAACTTATTTGTTGAAGGTCGATTGCAAAACAAGCTCTTGCAACATATATTTTTCATTTTTGAGTCCGCTTCCTGACTCGTTGTCATATAATGAAATATAATAGGAACACAATCAGGGCTAAAATCTATGATATGTGGGTTTAGAGGCAGACGCCTTAACCACTAGGCCATTGCTCCCCTTAAGTGCAGTCTCTGAAGTCGCTGTCATGGCCTTAGTCTTGGACCGTACTTTTATATAGTCTTTTAAATTATATTCATAATTGATAAAGTAATCATTCTTTATTTTTGCTCAGCATTTTCGACAAACAAATTGTTTATCTTGTCCTGTGTAGAGTTAATAACAGTACATGATTTATAATTATTAAAAGCAAAATAGACACAATTGGATAAGTGGTATATTGCCGAGTTATTCTCACACTGTGTATATTATACAAATTAACTTAACAACCTTATCAACTTGTAATAATCCGTCACTTAAAAGTGATTCAAGTAAAGTCTCCTGCACAATAAATTACTTGAATAATTGAGAAAAAAAAGACAAAAATACATCATAGTCTTAGTTTATAGGACGTAGATAACATGTATGTGCAGTTCTGATGTATAAAATCAGTTGATGTCTGCTCTAAATTCTTATCACAGCTTATTTGTTAATCTGGAAGTTGATAATGAGCCATTTACGTTATCATGCAGCGCCTTGACTTACTCAGCTTATGATAGTACTAAGGCAATGGTAAGCCATATGCGGTAAAATCAGTGTAAGTACAATGTATATGCATTAGCTTTAACCGGCACAAATTACTTTAGTGATGGCAGATCTCTAAAATCTAAAGATTACTACTTGTTTGTTATAAATTTGGTGGATATATTTATATTGCGTAATCGAGGACAATTTAATTACCATTGACTTAGTAAAAACTTAGTGGAGAAACAATATCAGGTAATTTTGAACTCGATTTAAATTTTATAAAATGTTTTGACCGGGTAAAAATGATAAAGTTAAAAGTCCTTGAAAATTATTGAAGTCTCAGGTTTGGTATAAATGAAGGGTTTTCGTGCAAAATACATCAACATTAAACACTTATGGTCACAAATTCGTAATAGTAACCCTGTTTTTTTTCCCCCTCTCATTATTAATATTGTGTGTGTGTTTGCGTGCGTGTGCGTGTGTTAAGAATGTTACTTGCGTCACAATTAGCTCGGTCAATGAGACAATGCTGTTGTTGTAAGCAGGCATGTTTTATCAAGGCTTTCGATGATGGCAGAAACGCTCTGAAAGTTGCTAACATTCTGACAGAAAATCACTACATCATCGATTTGTATATCCAGTTAAGATGTTTAACTATCATTTTTAATATTTTCCCAATAAAGGAACATTAATAATGCAACACTAGACAGGTATCAACGATATTGTCTTGATTTGCGTATATTAAATATACCAACTAGATTTATAATTGACATGCAGTAATCAGTATATTTTTTTTCTGCCATCACTGCATTTATCTGTCATCACTGGCGCCGGTAAAACGATATGGCTATGTTCGTCATAAGCTGTATACAATGCAACATTTTACTTTTACAGTAGTTCTGAAATGCACACTTTATCCGAATGAGAATTATTCACGACGTTCTTTGACAACAACAATTCTACTTGTATTCCAGAAAAATGCCATTCTTGCATGATTGTCACATTGTCATATAAAGATTTTATAAGTATGTTGAATCTTACATCGCTTACTTACCATATTACGGAAAGCTTTTAACCGACATATATCTGCCTCAACTGTTACATCGGTTGATAAAGGTGTTGCCTTCCAGTCAAAGTTCTTATTCAATCCAAAAATCTTCAGGTATCTAAGAAGACAAATCATCAGCGTTATGTCCATAGTCGACGTAGTTGGAACTTGGCCGACTGTTGGAAACAACTGATCATATTGTACCTGTGTTATAACGCCACGGCTTTTCAAACGTGTGATTGTCGCCTTTTCGTGATTCAAACATACACTTAGAGTTATGCCTTTTGCAGTCAGGGACTGGTCTAGTATGTTTCTCAAAACCAGGAGGCCTCCATCTATAATGAGTATTTGCAACCGGAAAAGGTAAATTCGGTTTTCCACTGTCTGTGTCAGCCCACCGGTTGCCATTTCCACTTGCTTTGTCAAGCCTCTGTCATTGCCACATCTTATAAAAGATAACATGTATAGTTGCTACAGTAATGCTTGGAAGTAATAAAGCATTTATTATTTTTATATCAAAGGTTGCTTTTTTATTTGTTTGTTATCATAATGACTTCAGTTAATATCTTCCAATGAAATATGTATACTTATAATGTAATTATAACAATTAGAGAAAAAAAGAAATGAAATTTCAAAATTAATAAGTGTTTTTTCAAGTTATTTAAGTCGATAAAGTCCTGTTTTTAATTCTCTGTTGCTAGACTGTGTTTAATTTTCCCAAGCACCAGATTGAGCATAGTGGTTCCTCAAAAAGTATAGCGATAACACGATGCTTTGTTCTTTGTAATATTGCTTTTTACAGTACTAAAACATAAGACCAGCTGAAGATAAATGTGGTTTAGTAAACGTTAGGGAGAGCAACGCTCCCGCAATTGTGAAAACTATTACAAATATTGGAAAATCTAGAAAAGCTTCCGTATTAAAGTGTATCTAAAGCATAAAGTAAGTACATGTTCGTTTTCAAAATATATACCGCTTTTAAATAATCACATATCGTCTCTGCAAGCTAAATTATTATACATGAAACAAAGAGTTTATGCAAGTGACATATCAATAAGAGTGAAATACAAATACTGAACGTTATATTATAAGAAGTTACGATTTTATTAACAGGTATAAACATGCTTTCTCTACTGTAAGATCCGTTTTTATTTAATTTGGTCGGCACACCAAACAAATATAGAAGGCGAAATTTCAGCCCCTTATATGCTTATTTTCAAAACCCGCCAGTAGTCCAAACTCCTTAACTCCTTAAAGTGGTTGTTTCCTCAATAAGTACACTTATGCCGAAACATTTAGGGGAGATCACTACGTAAAGATTGACAAATGATTGGCGCATTAATTTTCAAGCCTTCTCGGGAAGAAAAAATAGTTCCTGATTGGTCATTGTGTAATTCTTTAATATAAATGCTTATATTGAGCTCCATGATTACTTAGTATTTGTTTGTTTTTGGTTTAACGTCACACCGACACAGCATAGGTCATTTGACGATGTTCCAGCTTTACAGGTGCAGGAAGACCTCAGGTATTCTTCCGTGCATTTTTTCAAGCACGAACGGGCACCTGAGTTAAATATAGAAAATAAGAATCCCTAAAGAAAGCCCAACACGGCAAAATTGAAAATGTTGCAGACTCGGTTTGATTGAGCCTGTTCACGGACGGTAGTGTCAAGTGCAAACTACCGTCCAAGCCCCCTAGCACCGACTTTAGAAGATTAACATGAAAAAGTAAAATTTTGAATTTAGAAACATCCGCAGATGTGTTCACACAGCGGTAATCATGAAAGCTTCAATGTGCACTTCCGTGTCATTTCACGAAAAGCGGCATATGATCCCCAAGTCATAAAAAGCGTGTGCCCTAAACGAGAAAACAATGGGCGGAACTTAATAAAATGAAATTTTAATTTTGAAACGGGATCAGAGGTTATGAAGCCTACGTATCACAGATAAGACGTCAAAAGACAAGTTAAAAAGCAGGCAACATATCCTAAGGGTGATTCAACATTATTCAAGTAGGAATATTGGAACCACCCAACTAGAAAATGCCGAAAAGTTAACACTAAAAATACCACAAGCACAACAATAATGTTTGTTTGTTTTTTGGTTTTACGTCACATCGACACGGTATAGGTTATATCGCGACGCTCCATTTTTACTGGTGGAGGAAGACATCAGGTGCCATTCCGTGCATTATTTCAGGCACGAACGGGCACCTAAATAGAACCATCGACTTTATGTAAGCTAGCTGGATGGCTTCCTCACATGAAAGAATCCAAAGTCTCTGTCAGGTTCGAACCAACAGCGGTGATGGGTATGTGGTTTGAAGTCAACGACCTTAAGCACTCGGCCATGGACTCCCCATGATTATTTACACCAGTGTTGATTAACCGGTTTACCGTGAACAAAATATCTCGAAATTTATAAAGATTCAAACTCTAATTTAGAATAGTGTCGTTTTCTTCCGACTGTTTTCTTATAACTTTCCCGTGATCGAGGGGCTACACGCTCACGAGAGGTTTGGATTTCAAATCTCAGTTAAGGAAACTCATGTTTTTTCTTTTTTTTTAAATTGTTTAAGCCAAATAAACATTGTATTGAATATAAGTGTTGCAATTAGCCTTACAGCCAATTTACTACATTTAGAACCCTTAAAACAGCATTGGTGGCACAAAAACAAATTGGTTTATAATCTCACAACCTTCACCTTTCTCACATTCTGAGACCCAAACAAATCTAGCGCCTTCTGTGCTTTGATTAATTATGCAATGGAAACCATTGTTCAGCTGGAGGATATAGTGAGGATTCTTGAGGTATGCATTTATTTACAAATAATAGTTTTTGTTTCAAAATTAGATTTGCATTACTACGCCTATTCAGAGAGAGAGATGCGATTGACATTGAATGAAATAATAACATATTTCTAAGAATGCATGCGAGAAAAGTTCGACTTCAGGAGATTGGTTAGAACAGCAGTAGGCCACTCAAGTCGCGTATTTATCTTAAAATGTTAACATAAACATTTCGTTTTTTTGTCATTTGGCTAGTGGGGTGTTAAATCGGATCTTAAAAACGCTGTATCATATTTTTTGTCAAATGAACATAAAAGTATAACTGTATGTTGAAGCAAATTCCTCCAGTTCTTACATTTCAGGAATAGCTTAACCTCATATAGACGTGTTTTTACGGCTCTTAGACCCCCTTTTGAGGCCTCAGACAATAAAAAAATACTCTATTTAGGCCTAAAACACTGTTTTTCGTTTGAGAAATAGTGATAAAAAAGTAATCACTTTTTTGGCGCCGCCCTCTATCAAAAGGTACATCAAGGGGTGCCAGAAGAGGGATGTGCCCCTTTGTGTTTCGGGGGTTTGAAGGGGGCCCCCTCATCGCAAAAAAATTGTTGGACATGTGACAGGCTAAAAATGGCATCAGGTCGATCGTAAGGTAACGTGTAGGCAACGATGAAAAGCCTTTTATTCCATCCCAATCCATTGAGAAGTTGAAGCACCTTGAAATCAGTTTTGATGGAAAAAACAAAGCAAAAAAGTGATTTTTGGCAATATTTTAGGCGTCCCCTCGTTGCCATGGTAACAGAAAAATTAACATTGAACATGCTGTTACAGTGGTTATGGTCCAGTCAACAAGTTTCATCAGTATTGAAGCATGTTTAATAGTTTCATAGCAGTTTGAACTTGTAACAGGAGGCTTTACAATGAGAACTGTCATTTTTCACTATATGCTCATTAGTAAAAAACATAAAAATACTACAAAAACAACAACTTTTTTGGTAGTTCCAGGTTTGTTAAATCATTTTTTGATATTAGAAAAATTAAAAATTCTACAAAACAACATTATTTTCACCAAAATAAGGTGAAAGATCACATTTTAACAAAAACACAACTAGATTTTAGGTAATTCCAGGGGTTTCCTCATTTTTTATTAATTAAAAAAATTAAAAATGCTACAAAACAACAATTTTTCACCAAAATTAGGTGTTAGGACATGTAAAAGCTAGATATTGGGTAATTCCGAGGTTTTTATCTTATTTCTTAACCCTTTACCTCATAAAGACGTGTTTTTGTCAGCTTTTCCAGCTTTGGAGACATCAAACAGTGATAAACTCTCTATTTAGACGCCAAACACAGTTTTGGGTTTGAGAAATGTTGATAAAGAGTGATCAATTTTTCGACGCCAACCCCTCTCAAAAAGGTACATTAAAGGTTGCCAGAAGGGGGATGTGTGCCCTTCTGGTTCGGGGGTTTGGAGGGGGAGGCACTCAGGCAGCCCCCCTTATCGCCAAGAAAATGTTGGACATGTAACAGGCTAAAAATGGCCTCAGGTCGATCGTAAAGTAACGCGTAACCAACGATGAAAACTTTTATGCAAAAATACAGATTTTTGGCAATTTGAGACGCAATTTGAGACGTAGCCCCCCCCCCCCACCTCCACAAGTTACCTTGGTAAGTATTGAGCATTTAAGACTGGGCATGCTGTTACATAGGCTATGGCCCAGTCATAATTTGTGCCATATTTCAACAGTATTGAAACATGTTTCACAGTCTCCTAGCAGTTTGAACTTGAAACAGGATACTTTTCAATGAAACGTCCATTTCACATTATGCTCATGAGGCAAAATGTTAATATGGATTGCTTAAGTATTTTATTTGTTTATTGAATATGTTAAATTGTCTCTCATTATTAACAACCAAAGAAAAAAAACGATAAAAAAACAAAAACAAAAAACAACAAACAAACAAAACAATAAAACAACAACAACCAACAAGAAACAAAAAAAAACTAGTTTACAAAGCATTTAGGAAATAGATTACTTTCAAATGAAAGTTAGTATCTTTTTAAATGTGTTTTCAGCATGGTAAAATGTTATTAGTGTCACGACGTTGGTAGAACGTCAAAATACTGATAATGAGCAAAATAATATGCAAAAGCTAAAGTTTTTGAATTGTTATAAGCGAGTGTTTCCCACATATAAGGACACAAAAACTCTTGGTGGTGAGCTAGCTTTTTACCGATAGGGTTTGTGTGCCTTAAAACGTTTCATTTGGTGGCAGCGTTGGGATGAAAACAACTGCCGGACTGGAGTTGTCGTATCTAATGATTTCCCAGGCCAAGTCTAAGTCTTGGGACGAGACTTCTCAAAGGGGGAAGCAATGAAACGACGTAAGAAGAACGACATAATACTGATAGTGAGCAATATAATATGCAAAAACGTTTTTGAATTGACATAAAGGAATGTATTCCATATATAAGAGCACAAACCACTCCTGGTGGTGAGCTAGCTTTTGACCGACAGGGTTTTGTAAGTTGTTCATGTTACATTTGGTGGCAGCATTGTGCCTAAAACCGTTACATAAGCATAATAGAATTTGGGAAAGGGGTGATCCCCCGAAACCT